CCGAGCCGAGCCGAACCGCAAAGCTGCTGCCAGGGTAGAGAGTAGTTGTCGCTCCGGTTTAAAACGTTCACGGTTCTGTGTTCCCCCTCGGAAAACTTGTGCGTGACAACTTTGCACTTCGCTGCAACTCTGTTCCTGATGAAAATAGAAAGTTCTGCCGACATTCTTGCTAACTTGTTAGTGCAGCATGTTGTTATGATCACGTGAGCGCTACAAGCCGGATCCAAGCGCTGCTGGATAGAAACACTGGAGCCGAGTCAGTGGACTGCTGGATTGAACTGCTAATATCGGAGCGCTTATATCGGACATTTTTTATGCAGGCCGATAAAATCCGATACTCATTTTTTGGCTGATATCGGACCGATATCCGATATCGATATTGGATCGGGACACCCCTACTTATTAGTGAACAAATTGTTGTTATATATCTTGAAACAGGACATAAATCTATACAATAAAGACTCTACAGTAGTTTCCTCCATAGACATTTTACCCCCTGCCCTCCAGCCGAGATCGCTCCGCCTTCGAAACCACATAACTGAAACCAGTTATTGGCCATGATGCCCAGCCCTAATAACGAGTAAAACTCTATGGATGCTATTGTAAATTTGACATGGCTTCTGTAATTGTGATTTACAAATTGCATTGTTATTCCAAGGTGATCAAAAAATATGGCATTTTAGACCCTGTTTGCATGTGAACAATCTGATTAACATTTTCTCAATGTTGATTCTGTTAAAAAAACAACAACAACAATAACAACAAAAAGATGTTAACATTGCAGCACTGTGCTTGTTAAGTCAGCTGTGGTTTTAATGCCAGGTTACAATTAGGTAACTTCTTGGTCCAATACCTTAACGCCTTGTGACGTTATGAACCTATTTGATCCTAACTGTGTAGCTTGCACTGTGAATTTTGCCTTTTAAAGACAAATGATGCGCACAGACACTTCGATCTTGAACATGAAAACAGTTACATCCAAGCTGGTGAACACACCAATCTTTGGACCAAGGATGCCGTTAGGCTGTGCCTACACATTGAAAAAAGGATGAGTAGCACAAACAACCCTCTTACATCCATTATTGTTACTGCTGCTAATCTGTTTGTGCAAGGGCAAAAAAGCTAGTTCACACTTCTGTTGAAGGTTTTAAAAACCTCTACTCCTGAAACCTGGACACAAAAAGCTACGGTTTCAGAGGAAACAAGCACTGTTTTCAAATGCAAATGGCCGAACAGCATAAAAAATGTTATAGTTTCATTCAAAAACAGTGTTATATAAACTGGGTCAAAATACAATCATTTTCAAGCACCAGTATGACAGTTTGTTATTTCCTATTTGGCAACCCTGCCTGGCATGGGAACTATAGATGATTCAACAAGCAAGTCCTACATAAACATGTTTTTTTTCCATGATGATTTGCCCCAAGGTATGCTAGAGATTGTTCACGTTTAAAATGAGCCTAAAACACAAAAAAGTCTTTACAAACAAGCTGGTACTTACCAGATATGTGTCAGATACACATTTTACCACAAGTAAAGCTGGCTATTGTCCTTTATTCTTCTTTCTCTCTATCAAGTCCTGTTTTCCTCTGAGGCTGGCTCCAGTCTGAATGGAGAAAGACAGAAAAGAAGAGTGATTGTTCAGACCATAAGGAAGAGTCATGCTGCCATATGTAGCAGCTTTGAATGTCCAATAACTGATCTGATCTTTAAGCCCCACGCCCCAGCCGGCGGGGGCATAATAGTTTGTTTTTGTTTTGTTTGTTTTTTTGCTTTCTTTATTAACCAACGTTCTCATGGGTAAACATAGACATGTGAACATAGACTCATAAACCATTTCTACATCCACCAGACACAGATAAAAACCAAGCAGTTGAATCTGTATGTAAACAAACGGCACAAAATGGCG